CCAAGGACTACAACCCCACTGAATGCATCAGTACTCCTGAAAGAGCCCAAGCTAGCCTTTAAATCAGATCACAGTGATCCAGGCTATCCCTTTGCTCCTGGATGGGTTCTGAAGACTGCCAGGGCTGTGTCCTGTTTGAAAGTCAAGACATGGTAATAGGGTTTTTTTTATTCTCTTCTACTGAAAAGCAGGATCTGTGTAATAACAGTTCTCAATGTTAAGACTAGCACAGATTATTTTTCCTCCTTCTTAGCCTCATGTTTTGTAAAACAGTTTCATTTTTAAATCAACAAGTGTATGTTCTCCCAAGTGATACTATTATAAAGTCAACCTTGCTGAGGCAGAAACACAGGACTAAGAGGGAGATGAGAAAAAATTGATCAGAAAAAAGGTTATACTTCTCTATATGCCCAATTAATATTAAAATCTTGTACTTACAGATAAAATTTGAAGACCTATGGTCCTTCCAATCTCATAATTCTATGCTATCCTCCATTATACAGCAAATTCTCTCTTAACACTAAATCTGGCCAATATAAAAATTGCCTTTCCTCTGCACAATGTGCAACAATGCTACATGTTATTAGCTGAAGTCCTGAATACATAATACTCTGCTTTGCCTCCACCTATCCACTTTGGATTTTGTTGTTCCTTTGACCTAAGCTGTTAGGAGCCAGCTGCATCAGATTTTATGAGAAATGGATGAACCCTTTGGTACTCCTTCATTCATTCCTCTCTGCTTGTGGATTTGAAACAAGGCTGCACCTAAATTTTCAGACACGTTATTAACAAACAGCCGGCTGTTCCTTCACCTGCAACCCATGGGGCTGCTGTTCAGAGCTTCTTGCTGGACCCAAGAAACCCTCTGTCATGGCCCAGCAAATGCTCATTTTCCTCTGTCTCCTCTCACACCACAGAGCCCATAAAACACAGCCCCATCCTCTGCATTTGCAACCAAGCAACCCCTCAGCCCTCTTGCTTTAGCTTTTCATGCAGCCTAGCCCTGTCATGCAGTAACTGGGGAAAATACAGCTTTCCAGCTTCACTTGTAATTGGCACAGGGCCCAAAGAATGATTGTATCAGGATACAGCCATTGGCTTGGGACCATTCATAGGACAAAGACCCTTTTGATAATATTAATGCTTTCCAGCCTGACAACGCTGCTCAATTACTTGCTGCCTGGCTGAGGTCCGTCAGCTGGCATTGTGCTTTGACTATGGCGTTAGACTTGACCGGACAGCATGTGCCCCACACAAAGATGAAATGCCACGTTTCAGAACTGAGCTCTGACTTGAACTATATCTCCAAGTACAGAGGAAAGAGCTGGACAGGCTGCACAGCTGCTTGCTAGGCTGTGTTAGAGATGATGCTCATCTTACTCCCTAGCCAGGCTGGGGGACTTGAGAAGAGAGAGTGATGCCTACCATTTTCATTCACTGCTGGTTATCAGCCCAGCAGAGCTCCAGTTTCCCTTGTAGTCAGAAGTTAGCTCTGCAAAGACAGAGGTGGAAGAATGTTGTGCTGTGCCATCCTCCTTGCTCCTTTCCTTCCCCTCTGGTTTTTAATTCTGGGGAAATTTCCAGAAACTGCATCGACACTCATCTTCGCTTCCTACCCTTCTCCTGTTCACCAGAAAGCTTGCAAGTGCCCCACAAATCATTTGTCTGCTGTTTGCCTGCTGGAGCTTGTAAAGCCCTGGGGTGGAAGGTCTTCTTTTCCTGGGGGCTGCTAAAAGGCTGTGCTCTGCAGCACAGCTGCTGAGACTGTCAGCTTTTAAGTTCTGCCTGCCTTGGTAATATGACATGAATCAAGGGGCACAAAGGATTGTATCTCTATCTAGCATCAGCACTAATGCCTGCTGCACTGGTCACATCAAGCTACTATATTTTGCCACTGAACTCCTTGTAAATTTATACAAGAAGCGACAAGACCAGGTCAATGTCAACCCACACTATTTGAAATATGATAATAAAATGCTTGATGTTTTCATTAATACCGCTAGTTTGTACTGGCATATGTAGAAATCACATAGGCAACAAACTCAAGAAGATATAAGCAATAAAGAGGAGCTCTCTGAGGGTTGGTCAGGTGTTCGGCAGTTGTTCCCAAACACTCTTTAATGAAGTTAATCTTCACTGCTTACTGTGGTGTAAGTGGAAGATCACATCTCTTCTCCTCAGGAGATGTTTTATTAGACTGTGGTCTTACATGCACTGCAGGTAACGTTCCTGACCAGGTAGCCCTTGGGATTGAGTATGGAGAGCTAGTCAAGAAATTTCCATCAAAATATACCAATCTAAAGCACACTGGGATTTTTTGTACTTCTCTCAACTATCAGCAACATAGAGATAGATTTTGCTTGCCAAGTTGGAACTTGATATTTTGTCCTGCAGGTTTCTCAGGGGCTACAGGACAGGGAGGTGTTGGCTATGACTGGAGTAACAGAAGGTAACAGTGCACACAGTTCTTCCAATGTAAGCTGAGGGAAACTTCAGGAAAAAGGGGGAAAAGGATGCTATCTTGTTTCTAAAAAAAATTCCTCAAGCCCTGCATCAGCTTATAAAATTAAATGTGTTCATCATTTATTTTCTAGAGTAATGTATTTTCTTTAGTAAAATTAGTTTCTTTCTGTTCTAAACTAATCCAGAAACTGAGAGGATATTACCACTACTAAAATTATGCAAATAAAAGGTTGCCCAGCAATACAGTAATGGATATTATATCAGGTCCTTATCTAATAAGGTAAGACACAAATCACCATTCTTCTAAAACTTCTGTTTTCTAGTTCCTTTAATTTTCCTAAATAAACAACTAAAATAAAGTTTCCTAAACAACGTTCCTTTCTAGAAGAAAGTCAAATTACATCTATTTATTTATTATAATAAACTCCATTACATTGATATGTACTATGTGTATCTATAAATACATTACAATTTTATTTATCTATTACCCTAATTATCTTCTAAAGATTCTTTAACATTTCTCACCTGATTCCTAGGATTTTGATTGCCAGATGGGTAAGCTATCAGTAACTGCATTCTTATCAATGAGAACAACCACCTTTGAATGCAGTGCTCCCTCCTGGGGAACAAAAAAAACCCAAAACCACAAGGCACTCACAGCCACAATGAGCCACAAAAACCCCCACCAAACGACTCGGAAGAAAACGGATGGCTTCGAGGGTTAAATAGCCAGAGAGCTGGCTCCGTGACTGCGAGGGCTCCGCTTGCCCGGAGCTGCCCTCTGCTGCCCGCCCGCCGCCCTGCAGGCAGCGCCCTCCCACCCTTCCTCAGCAGCCCTGAAAATCATGACATTGCCCAGCAAACTGGGTGACATGGCTTGGCTTGGGGCTTGGCACCTTTGCTGGTGGGAGCGGTGTTTCCTTCAGTAAGAGAGTATGTGCTGTGCCACACCAGCCTGGCAGAAATAATTTCTGCTGTCCCTGGATGTGCTTGAGGCGTCCTAGTTCTGGTTCTGTGCTTTAAGGAGCTAGTTGGTTGAACTCCTTTCATGCTAGCTTACCCCTCTTAATGAAGTAACTTTTTGTCACTGGCATAGAATGAGAACTTTACATTGAGTCTGATTCCAAATGTCGTAATGGACTGGAGTACACTGAAACACAGATTCCTTGCCATCCTTCCCCCTCTGCATCCCTTTCCCTTCTTCACAAGAACTTACTCCTTCAAAGGATATTTCAAGTCTCATTTTTCTCTGCTTTTCCTAATATTTTTTTTTCCTTCTCTCATCTTTTCATCCAGATTTCTTCCCTCCTCTCTCTCAACTCCGGCAGCCTCAGGACTCCTTCCCTTCTAAAGGAGGGTTTGGAGCTCTTCAGATTTGCAGATTTTAAAGCCAGAGCACACACTGATGATCTAGTCTGGACCATACAACTTCCTTCAGTTAACTGCTTGAATTACTGGATATCTTTCATAAGCAAAACACAAGATTGTATTTATCTAGTCTCGGCATCCTATGACTGTGCTACATCTTTGGTAGCTATGTGAAGAAGCCTTCTTTGAGCAACTTTCTTTTTCCCATGTTGGCACTTGCCTAAACTGTGATCATCCTTCAGCTACTCTATTTCAATCACTTGCACCTCTCCCCCTACATTTCTCAGTATCCTCAGAGAATGATTTCTTGACCTCAGCACTTCAAATACCCCTCAGAACTCTTCTCTCTTCAGCTTTTAAGCTTTTACAAAATGCCATATGCGACTGCCAGGTCAATTTTTCTCCTCAGCATCAGGAAGTTCTTCTAATCTGGGACCTTGCTCTGTGAAAGGCATGTTCACTAAAATTGCTAATAAATTGTTAGGTTGTACTTTTCATCTGGATTCTCTTTGCTCACGTTGGCCAGACTCACAGCCCGTGGGTCATGATCTCTTTCCTATGGCACTCACAGCCACAATAAGCACAAATCAGAGCTCTTTCCCTCTGTACTCCTGAGAGCTAATATTTTTCTACCTAACCAACCTAGATAAAAGCTTTTTTGAGTTTTTACCATCCCTTGTCTTTGCAAAACTCTTTCTTTCTAGCTTTTACCCATTTATCTCACTTATACCCCATATTAATTTAAAATAAAACCCCTTATTGAGCTTATTGAGATGAAAGCATAGAAGCAGACAACCTCTAGGGCTTTACAAGCCTAGGTACTATATTCAAAACACTTTCAGGTAACTGAACCAAAATCAACATGTTTTCATGACACAGAGTGGGAGAATGGGGCACCCAAAAGCTCTTTGAGCATTGCAATTCCTTTTGGAAATGAAGAAGAATATACAGCCCAGGTGGTGGTTGGAATATCTGAGGTTACATTAGAGAGCACTTTGTTACAGCCATTAAGGGCAGCAATCATTCACAAATTGTTTCTACATCCTGCTTTGTCTTAGGAAAAGGAGAAGCCCTCAGAGAAATGTTTAGAAACTGTAAGAGAGAAGCAACAATTTTACACTGCATTTCCCTTTTCACCGATAAAATACCTGTTCATGTGACCACGTCCGTTCTGAGCCATCCTTCACACAGATGTCTAGCCTCAGCTCAGTCCCTGTGGCTCCGTGTTTACTGTCCACACAGAGGTTGGCTGCAACGTTTCGAATCTGAAAAACCAAGCAGCAACATTTCACGTTAAACCAGGCTGCTGAACAGAGCTTCCAACATTAGGGGTTAGAAGTTTAGCTCTCAGAAACCGAAGGGCTTGAGACTCACCATTAGTTATATAAAACTGGTGGAACTTACTTTCTACAAGGTAGAGAGCCATGTCCTGAGATGAGCTATTCTTTCTGTGAACAGTTTTAGAAGCAACAAAGTCTGAAATATCCTGCTTAGCAAATGAAAGGTAGGTCTGCATTAAATATTTTCATGCAAATAAACTAAGAGGAGAAGAAGTCTGACTAGTTCAAAGCTTGCTCTGACTGCTTCCTCCCTTCTATCAGAGCAGGATAGATCAGCCGTATTAAAAAGAAATCATTTCTGTATGAGTCTCTCACAGGCTTTGGAGCAATATTTCTTGAAAACTCAGGCATGATCTGTTTCAATGCTTGTTCTTACTTCGACACAGAGGGTGTGCAGAGAAGGTCACACACTGGGGCATTAAGTGCATAAAATAAAAAGGTACTTAAATTTGTACTGGAACTGTGCATACCTATGGAGGTTTTCCTTGTGCTGTCTGCATGCCTTCTCCAAACACTCCACAGTGTAACTTATTCTTAAAAGTAATAAGTAATAACTGAGTAATAACTGATCTGTGACTATCAGTCATATCAGTTATGTACCACTGCTGCAATGTATATTTTTCTGGAAGACGGGATTGAAAAGGAGTGGCTTGCCTACTGCCACCAAAAAGAGAAAAATCTCAAATTTATCTTGCAAATACATGCATGTTTCTCTTTGAGTACCTTAGTTGGGCTATTAGAAATCCTTTAGACATATCCCAAATGAGGAGGATTTCTTAAAAAACTGTCACTGACAGACACAGAAACTGAGTAATCAAAGTCTGCATAGATGCATGCAGCTCTGCACGAATTCTATATGTGTAATGTATAGAAAGCAGGTGCACATTTTGACACTCTGGACACTGCTGTGATTCTTATTTAAAAAAAAAAAAAGAAAAGCTAGATGCCAAATGGAGATACAGTGGAGTTGACATTTGTATTTTTCCATGGAAAATATTTTAGAAGTCACTGTTCTTGCTGTATTAGGTTAGACAAATGTAAACATTGTCACTCTTAAATGCTGTGCATCTCACACACGCACAGAGAAAGGATGGAAAACTTTTCAGCATAGCACAAAACATTGCAAGGAGAGGCAAACTTCATGCTTGTAAGGCACATGGGAGAGCTACTCTTTTTCTCATCCTGGAGGACTGGAAATGAGTCTCTTCACTGTGTTCTAATAAAGACTTAGACAGATGAGAAAGCAACAAGGACTGGAGAAAATGTAATAAATGTCACCTTCAGGAAAGGTTTTAGGAGCTGCATTTGTTTAGTCAAGAAAAGAGCAGAGTGGGCAAATGATGGGGGAGCATAAATTTGAGCAATTGACTCCAAGAAACTTTGAGCCATCACAGGCGTTCTAAAACTTGAACAAGCCCAGTTCTAGAGCATTTTTTCTTATTTTGATAAAATAAAAATTGCTACAGACAAGGTAAAAACCCTAGCTTTTCATATACACAACCAAATGCAGAAATCTACCGCTGAGCCCCACAGTACAAAAGGTCACGTTAACTGAAAAAAAAAAAAGATTAAATTAGTTCTCAACAACCCTGCCTTCATTTTCATATCACCCAGCAAAAGAGACAGGAAAGAATAACAAAGGGAATGGATTTTAATTTCATATTTTTAAGTTTCATGTGAAATACCTACTCCAAGTGTAATTTTTTTGAGAGTGTTCAATTATTTCTCAGCACACTTAAATTGACACTGTATAAATAAAAATTACTGGCCTAATACAAAATTAAATGATACATCAGTTCTGTTCTTGGAGCGTGTGAGCTAATTAAAATGGAGCTGCTAACAACTGCCATTAATAATTGGGGTATATTTATGTGATTCAGAATTATAAAATGACAGTGAATACATTCCACGTCCAATGAATGTTTAATGAATTGAAAGGCCTTCATAATTTTTTCTCAATGGCATCGCTCCATCCTGTTCTCAGTCATTTGGACGATGTAGTAAATTTGTTCTGTGGATTTCTGTGAAAGGTTTAAGCTGAACCTACATTTAGTTCCTTCACTGCTGGAATCTGTCTCCCCTGTTCTTTCTTTTCTCTACTCTCCTTTTCCTTCTGCTGCTGAAAGGCTTCCCTGAGGTTTTTCTTCTGGTTTGTTGTAGCTTACATGTTAGTTCATCCTTTTTGTTTGTTTGTTTTGTCCTTCCTTTCAACTGCAGAGGGGTCCTGATTTGTTTTTCATTTTCCTTTTTTAATACAGGCATTTCAGTCAAGTCTGTGCTTTTGTTTTCTGGCATTTCTGTGTGGCCTTGGCATTTGCTAGAAATTGAACTGAGACACTGTGCTGCTGCCAGAACCAGGGGGAATGTTCTTCCCAGCACCAGCACCACATGGCCTGCAAATCCCCTAAGATGCTTGCACGGAAGAAGGAAGGAAAGCAGAAGCACAACAAGGAGAGACTTTCTCATTTACACACCGACATGCATTTGAGCTGCTGTCTCTCCAGTCACTCACACAATGGATTTGGAATTTTTAAGGTTATGAGTTACAAATAGCAAAGAAATACATATACTTCTAATGCACTCACATTTCCATCATTCATATTTGTGCAATTATAGAGACAGGGGATGAAGAGGAGACAGATTCGATCACCTGTGTAGGTAGGGCATTGTGTTGCTACATACAACACTTATTTGCTCAACCTTAAATGCTCTTTTGTACACACATGTAAGCATATGGGAAAAGCATGCTTTTGAGGAGACCGTATGGACTAACAAGGATGCTTGGCAGTGATCTTAAAGGCTAGTTCAGAATTAACAAAATTCTGCAAAAAGCAAAGGACACTGTATGTAAATAACTATGCACATTTAAATCGTGAAATCCCATCCTAACTCATGTTGGCACATAGATACTGAGACTATGGGCCTCGGAGTCCTTACAGACAGCAGATGAGACATAAAAGCATAGAGAATACAAACTCCATGGGGTCTGTTTTGTCCCACCTCTACACTGGAGGTGCCCGAACAAGGACACACAGGCTTCTCAGAGCTGCACCAATGCTTGGGAACAAAGACATGTCACCTGAGTGGGATTTCTGCTGCTGTAGCAGCTGACTTCTGTGCTTTAAATGAGGTAGCAAGCAGTAAGGAGAAACCACTGGGTAAGCCTGGATACAGTAATCCTTGGGTTTTACAAAAAGCAGTTAACTTACATTAAAACTACAGCTTGTTTTCTCTAAGTTAGCCAACCCATGTTAAAAAGACTTTTCTCCAGGGTAGGCCAGACCTTGAGGAAGAAGTAGCCTAGCTCAGTGGCACTCCGATAGGGGAAAGAGGAATGTGATGTCAAATAGAAGCTGCAGCAAGGGAGGACAGAAGGCCTGAAAGTCTAAACTTTAGGTTTGCAGAGGACACTATTACCACTTGACATTTTAAGCTGCTGATTTGATAGACAGGTATCAAAAAAGATAGATTTTTGGACACATAACAAGAAGGGAGAAAAAAAAAAACCAGGAGTTCCCAAACGGTGTTTTCATACTGCAGAATATATGGTCTCCTAGATAACTTGAGCTCTGGTTAAATTATTGTTAGAGTTTTGCAGAAAGCCAGCAGTTATAGGATTTAACAAGCTCCCCATGGGAGAAGCAGTTTAAGATGGTCTAGCACTACACTCTCAAAAACACAGTATTTGCCATTAGTACACAAGCATGGAATGGAAACTGGAAAGTGATGGATGTGTTGATTACTATGATAATCTTCAGGTCAGAAAAACAACAGTCTTCTGAGTAAAATGAAGGGTTGCAGGCTGTTCATACAACCTGTCAGGATTAATTTTGAAATTTTTGAACATTTTGGCAGGAGCTGTGTAATGGACACACTAGCATGTTCCACGTTAAATTTTCTTTGATAATTCTAAAACACGGCAACTTTGTTCACAGGGAGATGAGCTCCTGCAAGATTCGCTGCTGGAAGAGTGAGTGATGTCCTGGCTTCAGCAGCAACTGTCCTACCTGCACTGGAGCCAGGCTGTCATCCAGAGTCAATTCAGCCTTCCTTGGGGTAGAGGGGGAGTGAGTCAGAGAGGGAGAGGCACTTCTAGGGATCCTGGGAGCTACCCTGCGTGCTCATCGTGGCACGATATCATCCGTGCCAGAAGCAAAAAGTGAGAAAGTGTAACAATCTAAAGACAGCTTTATGTTCAATATGGTAATCTGTTAGAACAAAGAATGTAGAGATGGTGCTGGGACTATCCTTAGGGTGCCCCAATACAGCAGCAAGAGAGGTACCTTGGAGCTATCAGTTTCTATAATACTTTCCATAGATCTGATTTAATACCTCAAATAAGAAAGTACCTGTAGCTGTTAGAAGACATTAGTAGTGCTCATTTATGTTGCATTTTTCTTTTGGGCAGTGCTTAAAGCCAGTTTTAGTGCACTGCTTACATTCTCAGATAACCCTAAGGCCATCAACATCTACAGATCAAATATGGAAAAATGAGCCACCTTTCCTGTTAACTGATACATAGTAATTTAAAAAGTATTTGTCCTTTGTGTCAGCCATAAAAAGGAAAAGTCAAAGTTAAAAGAAGTCAAACACTACCAAAGACCTCACTGAAGAAAGGGGACTCTGGCATTCAGCGTGGCACTGATCCTGATGAAAGAATTTGAACAGCCCAGCTGTGCAGCACTTGGTCTGTGCTGGGTGGGGGATAGCTGGTTATATCGCTTTTGTACAACAGACGCATGACACTCAGTGGGCTGAGATTGACTCATTAAGGGTATGAGTATGACACTTAAAAAAAAGAAATTAATCAAAAGAAAAGTTAGTTCTTAGGCTTTAATCTTTTTTTCAAAAGTGCTACTTGATTTAACTTCATGGGTGCCGTTTTCATGACAGTGCTGTAAAACAATTCTGTAAAATCCACGAGTTTGGGACTGAGAAAGTATTTTCAGGTCCTACAGCTTAGAACTGCTGCAGTGACCAAGAGACATGCTGTGTATTAAAACATTGAATAACAAGTTCAGGTAATAGCAAATGAAACCAAGCTTAAATATTTCCCTTTTGACAGTAAAACAAATTATTTTTTTTATATCACTTTGACTATAGGGCTTATGAAGTCTAAAATAAATGACAGTGGCTGACATTATATGATTGATTTACTGTAAAATGTGTTTTCAAAGATATTGTTGGAAGCTGTGATATCTGCCCAATATATTCATGCTGGATCACAGCTTGCAGATTCATGAGTACTTCCTAAGAAAACATTTGGTGTCCAAATTTCACCTAATGCAGCTGTTGTTTTAACTTCCTTCAACAGGATTTCAAACGCACATCACAAGGTTATTCTGCCTTACAAAGAGATTGGGATGGGTATTACTGTTTTTCAACTGCTAGTATACATTCCAACATATTCAGAAGGATAAGAAAAAAACCTATTTGAAAAATTATCTTTCTTTCATGGTGGCAGAGGGAACAGTACAGTTATTTCATCCAGACAAGGAAGTGGCAGTCTCACTAACCTTAATCTGTCTGGATTCACTGTTACATTGCTTTACTGCACATGTTATACTTAACTTACACACTTGTAACAGATGTTACAAGGCAGAACAGACTGTCAAGGGATTGGACACCCTGCCAGCTACAAAGGAGAAAAGGCACAAACAAGCAGAAGAGATAAGGCCATGACAAGTATAGCAAATATGACTGTTATTTGTTTTTCAAATTTCCTTCTTTTCCGTCATGAACAGATTTTGTTAATAAATGTAAGAGATTTTAAATGAATATGTTTACAAAAAAGGGGAGTTGTGCAGAGATTATGAGATGTCTGCTTTCATACCACATGCTTTTACTAGCTAGATATCAAAATACTGGAGCCAAAAATTGTGTGAGTACCTCATTGTTTATTCTTTCGCAGACTGGCATAGACAAGCAGAAGAAAAGTCTTTCCAAGTGGAAGCAGAGTGGATACTAAATGACAGGCAGTCTTGGCACAGACTTTTGGTGTGTATAGTCAGGAAGGTTTCCAGAGCTCCTAGATTTCTACAAAGCAATAACACACAGTCTGTTTTCCTCTTTCAGCTTCTAATTATGACAGCCATTGACCTTCAAGTTTGTTCAAGTTCCTTGCAAGTGCCAACAAATTAATTAAAACTTCACAGGAATGTGATAGTCTCAGTAAAAAATAGAGAGCAGGGCTGAAACTTCTTGTTATTTTAGAAGAAGATGATTTTAGAGGAAACAGAAAGTCTCTGGTCTTCACTTCCTTCCTAAGAACTCAGAAAGTCCTTTAAAGGTACAGATTTGATACCATTGTTATTATATTTTATTTACTTTTTAAAAGTCTTGCTTTTATGCAAAGATTATACTAATATTGTTGTGAAAAGAATGAATACGTGAATCACAGTCTCTTCAACTTAGGCACTCTGACTGAGTTAAGGATTGTTCAGCTGGCCAGAGAAATTATACATCTCATGATCACAATCCTTCAAGGATGCATATGTATACAGGTGGAAGGTGATGAAGAAAAATCATAGTAGCAGTCACAGCTCCCCAGTCCAGCCTGACTTCTACTGATAAACTTGTTACCTTTTGGTATACATTAATCTCATAAAGTGTGGGCAGCAGTATCAAAAATATACGAAACACTGATAACAAAGGAAATCATTATTGCCAAGAAGTAGCAAACAGTAAGACACATAGAAATTGAACATTTCCTGCAAAATCAGAGGCGGCCAGACCTCACAATACTGTGCAGATATTCCTATGCTTTTTTTAAAGTAGCACAATACACTGGAAGAGTAAAGCCTTCATTATGAATTTAATGAATTGAGAGGAATAAGCCCTCTGCATGTGACCTTTCCATGGAATGAATTGGCTGTAGTTGCTAGGGGTAGAAGGTCACTGTAATTTTTCAGTGCAGCTATGGAAGTAATTTCCTGTCCCTGCACTCTTTATGTTTTCATTTCTTCCACACAAAACAAACTGTCAAAGCAAGGTGTGCTACAGCATTGCTCTTCAGAGAGGTCTGAATGCAGAACATCTTTGATCATGGGTGGAGTGTTCCAGCAGGCTGTTTGCTCACCCTCTGCTTTGGAGTGATGCTTGGATATTGGCTTCTCTTTGTGGATCTCTCCCACCCCATATCTCCCAAATGAGAAATTACATTTGTCTGCTACTGGTACTCGGTCATTACAGCATCTACAAAATGCATCAACTGCACAAGTTGAGCAGAACCAGTCCCTTCACTCCATTTGTCACACTTACATGTGTGAGCAAAACACACCAAACTAAACTCCACCTACATACCATTGTATTTGTAAGAAGAGGAGGAGATGTATAAGTGGGTATGCAAAAAAAAAAGTGTTGGCTTCAGATCTACTTCTTGATAAAGAGTTTCTCAGCACCTAGAATAATCTTCAGACATGCAATAATGAGTGCTACATACTCTTTTCCAAGTTCTCGTCTCGATTGTGCATGTATCTTATGGACTGTACACACAAAACTGTAATGAACTATAAAAGGGACAGCAATAATCCTAAGACATTATGGTTTCTCATTTTAATGGCTAGTTCAGGGATTCTTCCAATCACTGTGAACACCATTAATAACACTACTCATCACAGGAGCTAAATCTAATTTAATGACTTTAATTTCCTGCAATATAAAATGCTAGACTAATTTAAATATTATCTAACTTGAGTATTCCTCACCTCCCCCCAGGCTGCAGGTGGAGGCTCCACAGGAGGGTAATATTTGGGGACATCCCAAGCCACTGCAGCCATGAACCACTTGAAATCTTTACATTTAAGGTGCTTGCGAAGTTCCTTCTGGGCGGAGATATCACCAGTTGAGAGATGTCTGTACTCAGGCCGTCGCTGGTAAATGTACTCTGCAAACTCATCCATCCACGTCTCTGCCACACGCTTCAGGTTCTGTGCAGCAGAAAAAAGAAATCATTAAATTATTTATGCTTTGACTGAATGATATTTCCAACGGGAGAATTAAACAGCAACAAAAAACATTCCACAGTCCCTACAACTTTTAAGCTTAGCTGGTCTAATATTTCAGCCTTAAAACACGGAAAAATCCCAATAAACGTATGCTATCTTCATTAGAGTGTTGAGTAAACACTGTGGAGTATTAAGTACCCTGCTTTTCTGCTGACTCTGTAAGATATGGTCTTCTGTCTGTTTAACATCTTATTTTCCTTCATATTCTTTATGAATCTTCAAGTGGATTTTTGGTTAATGATGGATGTTAAACAGAAATTTTCTTTCAGCTGCTCACATTGGTACCTATGTTTCTTTCTTGTTAGTTCAAAACCTACTAAAGTGCATGAATGGTTCAAATTATTCCTTCTGATGTATTTCACTTTGCATTTGAAAAGCATGTGAATTTTCAGCCATCATCATACTGCTTAGTCACCTAGCAACTCCTAACTAAATTTGAAGGTCAGTTCTTAAATGCATATGTATGGGGGCAAGCAGTCATAAGCCTGCTCTGCCCCATCTCACAGCTGGTTTTGCACTAGCTTTGGACTGGAAGCTTTGCTCTGGTAGTGTGGCAACTTGTGGCTTTCTGCAATCATCTTATAGACATATCTAAGACAGTTTCTGTTCCATGAAACCCAGTTCTGGCTTATGCCCCACAGAGTTTATTTTTGTTGGCATTTTACACGAAACAGAATAACCTGGCTTGTTGCATAAGGATTTACTTAAATTATAATCAATTAAATTAGCCGACTCAAATTATAATACAATCTTTTAAAAAGACTTCTAAGGAAAAATCCTGGATAGATGAGACTGAAGACAGATATTTTATTGTCAGTTAACATCACAGAGTCCAAGCAGTCTGGGGGCAATTTTTTTCTGTATTTTTTTTTCATTTTAAAAACTCCTCCTGCAACTTAATCCACACAAATTTATATGCAGATGTTGTAGTGGAGTACAGACTTAGTCTATTCTGCATTTCCACAGCTGCCCAATAGCCTCTTATGCTATCCATAAAGCAACATCTTACTGGATGACATTAAGACACTAGGGTGTTCTTATTGCTTTGTTTGTAAAAACAAGATCATCAAGTTTTGTAATATTCTTTTTATAGAACACTAACTGCACAATGCTGAGATGTGCTCTGTAATAAGCTGGAGGACAATATGCATCTGATTATCATCAACATAAGGTAATGTTTCTTCTCAGAACATTCTTTGCATCTAAGTAAGCCTGATTCTTACTCTGATTTGCTTTCAAGATTCATTTGAAAATTCCTGTCCTGAATTTTATTAATTCAAGCAAACCAAATGTCTCTGAACTAATAAGGCTTATCTGAATACAAAGACAGCAAGACACAGAACAAACAAAGTACTTCTAGCTGACGCTGCAAGATAAGTTTCTATGTGCTTTCTCTCTGTGAAGCAGATACGTTAAAACATGCAGGGATAAAGCAAGTAAAATCAAAGCAGTATAAAAAATCATAACACTTATATACCTATTCAGCAATGGCTTGTGCCTCACATAAGGTTGGCTTTTGTTGTAATTTCACGAAAACTTAAATTACTTTACAAGAAATTAGAATTCAAGTATACAGGAACTGAGTAGGACAAAGAAAACCAGAACAAATTGAAGAACAACATCTAAATGACAATCCCACCACTTTAACACAGAAATCTCCTGAAAAGTAAAAATACTATGTGATAAGACTTTGTAGATGAGGCCAAAATATGATAAGGCACATTAAAATAAGAAGCCAAAATCATGAAAATAGGTGTGATCTTTCTAGCATATCTTTCACTGTAATGTTATACACCTCATACAATGCAAATGCATTTAAGACTGTTCTAGAAAATATACTATTTTTTGCAATTGCTTTTTCTGATAGTGCACAATTTTCGTATTTAAAATAGATACTGTAAAAAGAACCGTACATTAAAAGTATAGTAAAAAAAAAGTTCAGTTCTTCCCACCATTCCTCAAGTATCAGGTAAGACACTTTAGACAAATCTATTTAGATTTTTTTTCCCCGGTTTTTCCAAGACCATTCTCTCCATCGTAAGCTAAAAATCTTCCCAAACCTTGTCAGATCCTGTAATGAACCCATATATTATCCTTAGCATTTTTATACATTGCTGTCATAAACTGACCCCTTTTGAGGCAGCCTTTTGAATTTCAATAGGTTGTCCTTGAAAAATATAAACTTTTGATTTGCTAGCTCTAAATCTCCAGATTGTTTATGAACATGACTGCAAGGAACTCTCTGTCCTGGAGTAGTAGAAAGCTGTCTGAAGTTGCCAGTTACTAGGAAGCAAACACTTCAGTTTTAAAGAGGTTTGTTGACTTCAGTTTAGCATGGGTTTCTTATCCTTAGTATCACTATGTTAGCTCTGTGATCACTACACTTCCTTTTAACATAAACATGCACAGACTAGTAGTAAAACTTCAAATTGCAGTTAAACCCCATACTTGAATTGAATGCAGTCAGGTAGAGCTGCTGTCCTGAAAGCTAGTCTGGTGCAACCTTGCACAATAAAGGCAAACTTCATTTACATTCCTATTTAAAACATGATAATCTAGCATGTTCCTGGAGCAAAAGTTCAGGCTGTTCGAGATCCATGAGCTCAGGTAAGTTGAAGATCCCAGTTCTGTGGCTGTTTAACATCGTGAAAAGGTGTCCTATGTGAAGAACCTCCTAGAAACATAACTCTTCCCTGCAAATTATGTCAATGAGCTGCCGGTCTTTTACTCACCTTATAACAACAGAAATATAGAGGAGCACAACCAAAGTGAGAGTGCTCATCACTGAACACTTTAAGGCTTACAGATCAGGTAACTTACTGTAAGGTAAGGATGTGATTTCAAGTCCTTTAGAAGTCTCCTAGAGTTGCCCTTCCCATAATCTGTGTGAATGTCTGACATGGTGGAGAAAGAAAGACAGTCACTTTCTCCTTGCCTGAGCCTTAGCCTACACACAGTCTGAGCATGCCAACATATTAAGCCTTACTAGTGGTAATGGTTATGAACAGCCACCAAATCTTGACAGAGTCTACCTGTAAAATAGGTGCTGAGCAGTTCAACTTTGTTAGTACACTACCACATGTGTGTGCATGCTGCTGCAGAATTTACAGGTCAAAGGAGTCTAAGAACCTACCAGATCAGGTGGCATTTTGTGAATTTCTTATAGCATGTCATGGTTTAGGGCTGGGCCGGCCACTAAATCCTGGACAGACGCTCTCTATTAACCCCTCTCCCCTCCCCAGAAGGGAAGAGAAAAGAGAATAAGGGAGAGAGACTTTACGGGTTGGAAAATAAACTAACAGGTTTAATGAAACAATAATACTAATACTACAGGATAATATTGTAAATAGGATAATAACGAAATATATATATAAATATATACAAATATACACAAAAAAAATTCTCCCCCAGTGACGAATACATCACCAGAGGCTCTGCGGAGCCGGGCACTGGAAAAGTCCCAGAACAAACTCAGCAGCAGGTGGGAGCAGAATGCCAGACACACAAATCAGGATCAGCGGCAGACGAACGAGCAGGATTCCACTCAGGCCTCGGCCTCTGCAGGATTGAGATGGACGGAAGGGTCCGAGATGAAAGGGCTCCAAGATCGAAGAATGGTGAAAAGGGGGCAAGACCCTTGTGATCTCTTGGTTTTTATACCGAGTATGACGTATGTGGGATGGAATACCTAGTTGGTCAGTTTTGGGTCCGCTTCCCCCCGATAGGTGCAGACACAGCACCCATGATGAGACAACTGACCTTGAGCATATCTTCTAGCAGTGCTGTTTGGGAAAAACATGCTGCTAGTTTCCAGCAAGTTCAGTCACTTAAAAGAGACTGAGCTGACAAGTAAAATCACTAAATAGAAAAAATTAGTTCTATTTAGCTCAAACTAGGACATTGCATCATTTAAGCACTCCAGTTTCACAGTGAAGCTAATCTAAAAAGAATTTAGAACAAAATAAGACTTAGATTTGAATCTTCCCAATTTTCGTCTCTTCTACTCTTTGCATAATTTTCTAAACAAAACTCCTGTAAATACCAGTTTCTCAAAGGATATCAAATGTCTTTATCAAGAAGAAGAATCAGTTGTAGAATATCATTGCGGTAGATCACACTTGCTAGGATTCAACCTGAGCACTTCTAAATGCATACGGAAAGGAAAAATGACATGTTTTTGCAGCTGAAAACTGCTGTAGCTTGGTTGTTACATTGCAAGGTTACAGACGTCCAGATTGGTTAAACTGGTCTTTTAATAAAAAGAAGGAAAACCAAAATTAAATAGGAGTAATTAAATGAAGATCAATTCAATATTAATCAGATACATGAATTGACACGCAATGTAAGGAAGACACAGGGACTCTAGATAGACATTTGAAGAGTTTTTCAGGACCTATCCATGACAGACCAATGACAATTTGTTCTCTCTCTCTTGTCAGTTTCAGCAAAAAAATTCTGTACAAGAAAAAATAAGGCCTAATGATATTTCAGTAGATGCATATTTCTGCCCAAGAAGCTGTGAGATGCATACTAAATTGATGGCAACCACACTAAGACTGACCCATCAGCTGTCATCAGTTGCCCATGTATGCATCCGTGATACAATTAAGCTTTGTGTCACTGTTACAGTTTTACTCTCTGGTAAATCCTTTACCATTGGCTTACATTTGGACAAGTTTTCTTTAAGTTTGTATGAACTCACACATTTAAGACTGCAACTTTGCTTTGTATTTTCACTCAGCAATAGTCTACAAAACAGTAAATTACAGTCACTGATACCTGGACTTCAAGAAAAGAGCTTAAATCAACTTGACTGAAGAGAGATAAATGAGGACGTCTCCACTTGAAAAAAATAAATTTTTCATGGACCATTTTGTCCCTTTCAATTTCTTCAACGAGTGGGGAAGATACATCTCTCTGAT